AGCCCAAAGCCCAAATTCATAAAAAAATATATATAAAAAACGGGTACGGGGCGGGGCGGGGAGTGCTATATCCGTCCCCGTCCCCGGCTTGCGCCAAGCGGGGATCCCCGTCCCCGAGACCCGATTTTTCGGGGAATCCCCGTCCCCGACCGGGGCGGGTGGACCGGGTTACCCGACGGGTCGGGGTCCATTCCCATTCCTAAGCTTGTGTCCTCGTTGCAGTTTCAAAATATATATGGTTAATACGGTGACACTTTTCACGACCCGAGAATTTTTTTACACTCATTTGGTGACAGATTTCCAGAAACATTGTAGGTAAAAATCTTGCATTTTTAGTAGTGAAATGGTACCATCGATCGAAGAAAAATTCATAGGTCCGTCTCTAACAATCTGACGCCACATCGTTTATGATGTCATGAAGCGTAAAATATCATGTTTGTTTATTTGTGTAAAACAATGTTTATAAATTATAGCAAACTATAAGGATACTCGTGCAATACAGCGAGATAAATTTTAATTTTAATGTTTAGTTTTTTAATATTTGTCTCTATCGATATAATACGATTTTATGTGATAATGTTTTTAAATGAAATATAAATTTGAAGATAACATAAAATTTTGAAAAAAAATAAATCGATATTAGTACCAAATTAATAATTTAATAGTTCTTGTTTTTTTTTGTGTGTAACTTTTTAATTCAATTTTTTATTATAATTTAATTTAAAGTTATTAACAAAGTAATTTATTTTTGGTTTAACTATATAACTTTTTATAAAGATAATGATTAAACAATTTGTTAGAACTCAATAATTATTTTAATTATATTTTAGATTTTTTATATTTAAAATGGATATTTATCTTGTATTTGATTATATTTATCCGTAGTTAGTTACACGAATTTAAAAATTGAGCTTTAATAAGTTGTACTTAAAAATTACTTGTAATTTAGAATTTTAAATAATATATACATCAATAAACAATACTTATACATAAAAAAATGGCTTTTAAATTTTTTTATCAAATATTTTATAATATAATATAAATAAGGATGTTTGAGAAGAATAAATGAAGCCGGCTTCAAAATAATGAAGTTTCATTATGTTGTGTTTGTATTGTTTCCTTGGCTTTTCTAAGTAATTGACATTTTTGTCCTTTGTTACAACATCTCCAACCTACCACTAATTACAACAATAAAATAAACGTCGTCTTTTGTTTTAACCCATCATTAAGGGTGCGTTTGGTGCGCAGACATGATAGGACAAGACATGACAGCTGTTCAGCGTTTGGTAAGGCATGACATGACAGAACAGAACTGGTTAAAATAACCAATTTACCCCCAATGCAAATCGAACAACAAATCATACATTGCAAATCGAACATAGCAAATCGAATCAAACAGCAAATATATTATTTTGAAAATTTGAGGAGGCATTTATATTTAGAGATCTACTATTTATAGTTTATAAGATGTAAAGATTTAAACATTTAAGTATTTGGGTAATTGGTTGAAGTATTAACCGGTTATCATGTTGATGTAGCGAGTAATGTAGTATCTAACTCAGTATTATTTGCTGGCGTGATTATTGACATAGACTCTTTTAAATCTAAAATTAGTCTTCATTTGGTTATCCAGTTACTTAAATGTTTAAAACTTTACATCTTAAATACCAAAATGGAAGTTTTAAAAATACATTAACAAAAAAAAAAATCAAATTAAAATACGTTACTTTTTTATGCATTTGACTCATTCTCTTAAAAACAAACTTTCATGCATAAGGTACAATTAATTTGTGCACATTACTTAAAAATAAAAAATACAAGTTAATTATGCATACGTACATGTTTTTAAAGCATACCACTCCCATTGAAATCTTAATTCGTCCCTATAATTTCTCTAATCCAACTAACGTCCCTATAATCTCTCTTTTTCAACGAGTAAATAGTTACTGTCGATTTCATATTTAATGGATGGTTTTGACTCAATATTTCTTATAATCACCGTCAACTTCYATTCCCCAAAGCTCGGTTGCTTTTCTTTCAAAGTAAGCTTCAATCTCATGGATTTCGACCATTGCTTCTGATTGATTTATGGTCTGTATCGATTTTTGCTTCTTTCTTTTTGACTCATTACGTATCGATTCTTTATGGTTTCTTTGTCTGATTCTTTGTCAGTTTAGGTTTACTTCCTTGGAGTTCGATTGCTTCTCATCTCCAAATCTTGATTGCTTCTCTTTCAAGGTAACCTTCAACCTTATGGGTGATTGTATTGATTGACCATAAACCATTTGATAAAAACTCTTAAAACCATTTTTTAATGCATAAAGTATTTTTTGTTGATGCATATTACTTAAAATTCAATATCACAAGTAAATTGTGCGTAAATACAACTTATTAAAGCTTCATCTTTGAATTTGTGTAACTAACTATAGATAAATATAATCAAATATAAGATATACATCTCATTTTGAATATAAAAAATTTAAAATATAATTATGATAATCATTAATTATAACAGAATATTTAATTACTATCTTTATAAAAATTATATTATTAAA